TGCCCCTACTTCAACAAAGAAAATTTGTGAGTTTAAATTCGTGGTGGTTGGTTTATGGTTCTGTCTTTTGACGAGGATTGCTCAAGTACTTATCGTGTTTTACTTTTTCCAAATGCCCAGTGCTCGTTATTGATTGATTATATTTTCACCCAAATTTTCTCATTTTGAGGGACTTAAATCCAATATATGCCTTTATGTCACGGCACTCATTGTTTGCCCTTCATCAAATCATGGACTTTTTATGAATCCAAAACTTGTCGACAGATGATAACTCATTGGCCTGATGCTTTGCCTTGTATAAATTTAGAGTTGGTAACAAGTCTTGAAATCCTTTCTTACTTTCTTGACATAAACTCGACTCAAGGACATATGAAATAAAGCAATGAAAAGTGGAAGAAAAATATATACTACACGAGAATAACAGAAAATGATTCGATGAAGACTCTCTTTAGAAAGAGGAAGAAAGAAAAACTTATCTGAGTGTGGTAGCCGACTCTACTGATCATGGCATGCAATTTGAATTGATTACCCGATTTGTCCATCCAATCTATTCATCAACCATTATTGATCATCTAATCTTGATGTGGAGTCCCAACTATTTGACGAAGTCATAACTAATTTTAAACTCTTATTTGCCTTATGATGTCCACGAGGGTTTTTTCCACTAAAACTCTTTCACTTTGAATCCTTCAACTCACATTCGCCTTATGATGTCCATGAGGTTTTTTGTCCACTAAAACTACTTTCACTTTGAATCCTTCAACTCACATTCAACTCATGGTGCCCGTTAGGGTTTTCACCAATAAAACTCTCTCATTTTTTTCATAGCTCACTTTTGCTTTATGATGCCGAGTTAGGACTCTCCTTTTTCTTTTTTTTTTCACTTTCGCCTTATGATGCCAAGTTAGGGTTTTCACTAATAAGACTCTCTCCTTTTTGTTTCTTTTAACTCACATTCGCCTTATGATGCCCAGTTAAGGTTTTCACCAATAAGACTCTCTCATGGTTTCATCATTTGTACCCTTAACATACTTACTCTTGACATTTCAAAGGTTGATCCAAAGGTCTTTCTTTGATTGAAACACAACTTTTATACAAGGTTAGAAAGAAATGACAAGATGAAGGCTCAAATACGATTTTAAATGATGGGATTGACTTTAGCTTTGGGAAAAAAAATAATTAAAAAATGACTTTTTCCCTAGTTTTTTACAAATATGGAATTTTTGGATTTTTTATTTGGTTAGACCGAACCCCACGCCAGGGTTGCCTACGTATCTTATCGAAACAAGAATCAGGTCAAACGTAGTTCATGTTGATTGATTTTCTTCTCTCTTTGTTTTCTCTTTTTTTTTGTTTTTTTTATATGGAAGAGCCAAGGAAGCAGAAGAACCAAGGAAGTAAATTAAATCTCAACAAGGGTGACAACATATGAATTAATACTTAAACACAGAACCAAGAATTTCCATTACATCAACCTTTGAAATGTCAAGTTCAAACATAAGGGTTTCTAATACCGAAAAATCACATCATATATAATATCTCTTCACAGCATCAACATTGATGACCATTTCTGTCATTTTACCTTCTATATCTGCTAAGTAAAGAGCACCATTCGATAATACCTTCTTTAAAATGAATGGTCCTTTCCAATTTGGAGAAAATTTGCCTTTGACTTCAGCCTGGTGTGGCAGAATACATCCCAACAATAATTGACCCTCTTCGAAACGTCTGGGACGCACCTTTTTGTTGTATGCTCGTGCCATTCTTTTCTGGTACAATTGTCCATGGCATACTGATGTCAATCGCTTCTCATCAATTAAACTTAATTGATCCAAGCGTGTTCTGATCCACTCATCATAATCAATTTCAGCCTCTACAACAATTCACAGGGATGGAATCTCAACCTCTGCAGGTATAACTGCTTCAGTCCCATATACCAGCGAATAGGGGGTGGTACCCACTGACGTACGAACGGTAGTGCGATAACCCAACAAAGCAAAAGGCAACTTTTCATGCCATTGTCGAGAACTTTGCACCATTTTACGAAGTATCTTTTTTATATTTTTGTTGGCAGCTTCTACAGCCCCATTTGCTTTTGGGCGATAAGGAGTCAAATTTCGATGTTCAATCTTAAATTGACGGCATACCTCTTGCATTAAACGACTGTTGAGATTTGCAGCATTATCGGTAACAATTGCCTTTGGAATACCAAATTGACAGATGATGTTGAAATGAATGAAATCCACCACGACCTTCTTGATCACTGACTTGAAAGTTACTGCTTCCACCCACTTTGTAAAGTAATCAATGGCCACCAGGATGAACCTATGACCATTCGATGCTTTTGGTTCTATTGGTCCAATCACATCCATTCCCCATGCCACGAAAGGCCATGGAGCAGACATCACATGCAACTCGGAGGGAGGAGAATGTATCAAATCACCATGTATTTGACATTCATGACATTTACGAGCAAATCGTATAGAATCCCGCTCCATGGTACAATATGCCTCCTCTTAAGAAAAAACCGCTAGCTAGTCGTCGAATAGTCCTTTTTTGATTACTAGTGGCATTAGTAGGACATTCTCCGGACTGAAGATATGTTTTAATATCATGGAACCACAGTTTACCGTCAAATTCTTCCTCCACCATGTTGCAATAAGCATGCTGATCACGAATCTGTATGTACAAAGGGTCGATATGAGCTTCGTCAGGATATTGGAGCATCAAAGATAAAGTTGCCAATGCATCAACAATCTCATTATGAACTCTAGGAATGTGTCTAAACTTTATTGACACAAACCATCGACAAAGATCTTGTAAACAATGTTGATATGGTATGAGCTTTGGGTCATAAGTCTCCCCATTCTCCTTGAATTTGATGGACTAGTAAGTCCGAGTCTCCTAGCACTAGCAACTCTTGGATGCCCATGTTAGCAGCTAACCTCAAACCCAGGATGCAAGCCTCATACTCTGACATATTATTGGTACAATAGAATCTAAGTTGGGCTGTTATAGGGAAATATTCCCCTGATTCAGACATAAGAACTGCTCCTATCCCAACTCCCTTCTTGTTAAAGGCACCGTCAAAGAACAAAATCCATCCTTGATCCTTATCATGAATAACTTCATCGATACATGACACCTCTTCGTCTGGAAAGTAGGTCTTAAGTGGTTCATATTCATCATCAATAGGGTTCTCTGCCAAATGATCTGCCAATGCTTGAGCCTTCATTGCGGTCCGCGTCACATAGATAATGTCAAACTCTGTGAGTAATATTTTCCATTTCGCAAGCCTGCCCGTGGGCATGGGCTTTTGAAAAATGTATTTTAACGGATCCATACGAAAAATGAGATAAGTAGTATAAGATGAAAGATAGTGCTTCAACTTCTGCGCTACCCAAGTTAGGGCACAACACGTTCTTTCGAGAAGGGTGTACTTCGATTCATAAACGGTAAATTTCTTGCTGAGGTAATAAATGGCCTGCTCTTTCTTCCCATTGCTATCATGCTGACCCAATACACAGCCAAAAGAATTATCCAGTACTGACATATATAATATCAATGGTCTGTCCGGTTCAGGAGGAACCAACACAGGGGGATTCGATAAGTAATTCGTAATTCTTTCAAAAGCCTCTCGACATTCTTCGGTCCATTCGACTGTGGCATTCTTTTTTAACAACTTAAAAATGGGCTCGCAAGTTGTTATGAGTTGAGCAATGAATCTATTGATGTAGTTTAACCTTCCTAAAAGGCTCATAACCTCAGTTTTGTTCTTTGGAGGTGGCAGTTCCTGAATGACTTTTATTTTTGAAGGATCTAACTCGATACCTCGTCGACTGACTATAAACCCCAAAAGCTTTCCTGACGGTACTCCAAATACACATTTTGTAGGATTAAGCTTGAGATTATACCGGCGAAGCCTTTCGAAGAATCTTCTTAAGTCTTGCACATGATTTGACTACTTTTTTGATTTAATGATCACATCATCCACATAAACTTCGATTTCTTTATGCATCATATCATGAAACATGGTTGTCATTGCCTTCATATAAGTTGCTCCCGCATTTTTTAACCCACATGTCATGACTCGATAACAATATGTACCCCATGGTGTGATAAAAGACATTTTTTCTGCATCTTCATCATCCATAATAATCTGATGGTAACCCGCATAACAATCCACAAAAGATGCAATCTCATGTTTAGCACAATTGTCCAACAAAATATGGATGTTGGGCAAAGGAAAGTCATCTTTTGGACTTGTCTTTGTTAAAAATCACGATAATCAACACACATTCGAACTTTGCCGCCTTTCTTAGGGACAGGTACAATGTTGGCCAACCAAGAAGGATATTGAGCGACTCAAATGACTCTGGCCTCAAGTTGTTTTGTGATTTCCTCTTTAATTATTACACTCATGTCAGTTTTAAGCTTTCTCAACTTTTGCTTTACAAGAGGGAACTTATGATCAATCGGCAACTTGTGAACCACCATGTCAGTGCTTAATCCAGGCATGTCATCATAAAATGATGCAAAAACATCCTTGTAATCAAACAGAGCCTGGATTATATCCTCCTTTTGATGTCTAGCATGTACGCTTATCTTAGTCTCCTTAATATTTTCAGGATTCCCTAAATTTATCGTCTCATTTTCACTCATGTTGGGATTTGATTTATTCTCAAAATGTTTGAAATCCCTGCTTATTTCTTCAAATACTTCGTCTTTATCATATTCAATTTCTTGACTTATTATTTCAGGATTAGGTCGAAGATTAGATTGGATTTTAAGATCTGGCGAAAAATTCTGCATGCATGTCATATCACTAGAATCGGCATAGAAAGAACTGTATAGAAGAAAACAAAATAAATATATTAGACTGAAATAAAAACAATTACATCATATTGAAAAGGAAAATAGAGAGTTTGAAATAAAACGGTGAGATAAAATCCGAATTACAACCCTTGAATAAATCGGATGACAAAAAGAAAAACAAGACAGACTACCAAGACTCATTCTTAATGGAGAGAGGAGTAGCCTCCCAATTGTTCAGTTGGACATCAGGACCAATGAATTACACATATCTGTCGCTAGTGCCTTCTCCGAGTTCAACCATATCAGCCTCGACAAATAAATCTTGAAAATAGTTGATCAATTCTTCGTGAACCTCTAGCATTGGCTCTGGGAGTGGTGACTCAGAAGTTTCTGTTGTGCGGGCTTTGAGAAAAGATTTATATATGAGTGGTATAGGCTTGGTAAGTGATCATACATCTCTTTTCTGCTTCTTGGCCTTCTTTTTGTCCTCGACTCTGGGCTTGTATCCTAAGCCAAAAGTACCAAGGCTTTTTCGTAGGCTCACCGGATAAGCTCTCCCTTGCAAGAAGATCCCCAAGCCTTTACCTGGTTCAAACCCATGCTTCAGCATTTCATTTACCATAATCATGGAGGCCATGAGCAGTTGTGGTTTTGAAATGAGATTCCCTTCGAGGATATGCTCAACAACCACTGCCTCAAAAGCTTGATAAACCAGTGCCTCATTCTCATTATTCGCCTTGATAAAAGGGAGGGAAGATTCTTTGTAGACCGACAGATCCCCCTCACCATGAACAATCACTTATTGTCGGTCGTATTCAAGCTTAATCATTTGATGCAACGTAGAGGGGACTGCCCCAGCCCTATGCACCCATGGTCTCCCCAACAATAGATTGTAGGATGCATTGATATTCAGCACTTGAAAATTCACGGTGAAATCGACAGGCCCTATTTTTAGTACGAGCTCTATCTCCCCAATGGCATATGTTTTTGATCCATCAAAAGCTCTAACACATACGTTGTTGGGTCGTACCCTTTCAGCACTAACATTCAATTTTTGTAGAGTCGATAAGGGATAGATATTTTCTCCAGATCCTCCGTCAATTAGAACTCGAGTGACATATGAAAGCTCACACTTTACATTGATATAAAGGCCTTGGTTATGTCCCACACCCTCCACGGGTAGTTCATTATCTGAAAAGATGATGCGGTTTACATCAAAGATTCTCCCAACAATCTTTTCTAACTGACTCACTATAACTTCATTCGGAACATGTGCTTCATTCAGAATCTTCGTTACAACTTTACAATGTTCATTTGAATGTATTAACGAAGACAACAACGAGATTTGGGCTGGGGTTTTCCTTAACTGTTCCACAATGGAGTAGTCTGACAATTTCATCTT